GAGGAGATAAATACAAATTATTTAACTAACTACCGGATAGATTTTATTGCTGAATCCGAGACAATATCAATATCTTAAGAGGACTTGCTTCCTTTCCTATGTGTGAAGCTTCATGAGGATTACAAAGGCTTCAAGAAATAGACACTTCTTGCTTATCTCTGTGTCATGTACTTGATGAGATCAAAGAGAATGGTCAAATTTCCTTCAATTATTCTAACAATTGATAATTTCCATTTGGTTCAGTGGTATTTATCCAATCCATTGAGAGGTTAATAATTTAGTATGTGCTCCATCTAGTTTTGTATTTTCATTTTTGATGGAGGGTGAAATTATTCTAATTTTTAATTTTTATTCAATTTTGAAAGATTTATATTATAGTTTTAGTTTTAGGGTTTATTTCTAGGGTTTTTTAATTTGTTTAGAAATTCTAAGGCTTTATAATTTTTTGTTTAAGTACTACTCACAAGTACTATTCATGAGAACTGTTCATTGGGGTACAACTATTATTACGAATTTGAAGTTTACTTCGGATATATGGGTCAATGTATTGTTTGTTTGGACATTTTCTACATGAAACATTAAGTTATAATATATTAGAGGTAAGTGCGGCCTTGAGGGGTCCATTCCATATGATTTTTAGAAATTGAAAGAGAGAAAAACTTAGGCTTTTGGAAAGCTTTGGGTATGGAGAAGAAACCTTAGGTTTCTTTGAATTGTGCTTGTGTTTGGTTTGTTTCTTGCTGATTTTATTGTTCCTTCAAATTTTCCTTTATCAATTTGGTATCAGAGCCCGACGATTCGTACAGATAGTACTGTAGCATGTTATTGTAGCACATTACTTGAGGAACAATACTGTAGCGTCTATTTTTGTGCTCTAGATCATCAACAAATCCTAGGTCTTACTGATTTCAGTAGGTTTTTGTTGATCATTTGCTTAGGGTTTGTGATTTCGGTGATCCCCAGGCGACAGGAAGGGGTCGTGCAAGGGGGGTTTCGTAGATCCGCTCTGTGATCCCAGAGATGAGAGAATTGAGGAAATTGAAAGGTAAATTTAGCAACTAATGCAGGAGTTTACCAGCCTCAATAATAAACAACATGGTGATCTCTCATCCCAAGAGGATCTAAAGTACAAACCTTTTCACTTTCGGGTTCCATGTGGGGAATCCAGTAATGAGGATCGTGATAGAAGACCTATATATGGGGAACATCACTCTAGGGCAGTGATTAAAAAATCGTCGAGTCATCATGGACTCGGCCAATTCGACACGGGAATCAGTCAGCTCGTATCGATTCTAGCGTAAAATCGCAAATCGTCCGTGTCTAGAAACAAGTCGTACGAGTCGAACGACTTTCACGTCATGGACCGGTTCGTGACGTCATTAACACGGGCAAATTAGCCGAGTCAGGCATAGACACGTGGACGCGCACGCACGTACACGCGTGAACACTCATGCAACAGCGTCCATGGAGTGCCTGCCTTCCACACGCGCGCAATGTAACGCACTACCCGTGAACATTTTAAAACTACAATGCTTTTCCATAGGCTTCGTTGTGGGATAATTAGCTAGGCGGTCTTGAGAAGCTAAAGCAATATATATATTTTTTTGTTATATGAAAGTAGACAAATACGCTGCAGTGGTATGATGGGTAGCTCTTTCAATTTTCTTACTAGGGGTTGTAGGTTCGAACCCCCTCTCAACCGCAGTACAATTTTTCGTCAAAAAAAATATATATATAAAAAGAAGTTATAAAAATAAGCGGCATTGGATTTTTTATCAAAAAAAAAAGTTATGAAAATATAAAAAAAGTTAAAAAAAAAAAAGAAGTTATAAAAATAAAAAAAAATTATCTTGACTAAAAAAAGGAGTTATAAAAATAAAAAAAAATTATCTTGACAAAACATAAAATTATGACAAGAAATAAAAAGTTATATTGTCAAAAATATAAAAATCATTTTAACAAAAAATTAATTTTTGTCAAAAAATAAACCTTACTTCAGCAAAAAAATAAAACTTATTTTGACAAAAAAGTTACATTGATAAAAAAATAAAAGTTATGACAAATGAAATAGTCTATTATTCTTTTTATTTTTTTTTAAGATTTAATATTTTTTAATATTAATTATATATATTTATTTATTTATTATGATATACAAATATAAAGTACATATAATATTTAATTACATATAATTACAAAAATAAAATGTTATATAATAATTTAAAAAAATTAACATAATTATATGAAATTGTTTGTTTATGTGAATAACTTAAATATAATTATGTTAATTTTTGTCAATATAATTATTTTTATATACACTAAATTATTTTTAAATGATATGGAAGTTTTTTACTAATATTTTTAAATTATTTTGATTTAATATTATAATACTATATTATAATTAATAGTTATAATTAGGGATTTAAAAAACAATGAGTCAACTCGGTGGTGGTAATTACATTATATGATAAAAAACGAAAAAATTATTAATAATAGTAATTGGGTGCTCATCACCCCTATCTTCAACCAAAAAAATCTAAATTTACCTACCCAAATAAATCATAAAAATTCTATTAGGCTATTATATCACGAGATTATTTCATTATATAATTATTAATTAATTAAGTAGTTAACTGAGATTAAAAATTAGTACTAGCTCATAGAATATTAAAAACCAAAAATAATACTAATTCTAGTTATTGAATATTAAAATATATTAGTTTAGAGGATATTTGAAGAGAGAAAAATAACACTAACTCATACCACTTTAGAATTTATTTTTATATTGATAACCAAATCTTTTATTTTTTAATTTATTTGCATTATAAATTATGTGATATACTATTTTTTCTTCCAGTTGTCAATAATACATTTTAAATTAAATGATATTATAAGATATTTTGGATTTGTTATTATTTGTATAATAAAATAAACTATAAAATATAAGCCAACAATTTCAATTTCAGTATATAATACTATAGTTAGGTTGTAATAATTTGGGTTTTTTTTTAGCAGAGTAGGGTTTTCCGCCAATTCGAGATTTTGGTGGCCATTTTTTCATCGATTTAATCCACTCGTTATTATAGTCCAGTATAATTATATATTTCATTCATGATAATTCTATTATTTTTCTTTTGTGTGATGTAAATTTAATAGTTAACCTAAGTTCATACAGGGAAAGAACATCTCAATATTCGCAAATTGATGAAAAAATGAAACTTAATAATGTAGTACCCCCATTTTTTATTGGATTCCTACAAAATAACATTTATAATGAATTTTGATAATTTTTTTAGATTTTTTTTAAGGCTTAATTCGACCGATTCAGCCGATTCCCTATTCGGATCGCTGATTCACTGATCCGGATGGGTTTTTGAGGTGCCCGATCCGGGGCACCGATCCGTTTTTTAAACCACTGCTCTAGGGTTTTCGATTTGAAGGATGAGATTTTTTATTTTGACACAGATTGCATAAAAAATCAGCAAGTTATAGGTTGGATTCACCACAAATCTTTGATATATACTCTGATGAATAATAAGATCTTTTAAGAGATCTAATCTATTATAAGTATCAAGATGATGATGAAAAGATCTTGGAAGAGGGTGAAGAATATGGGGACAAGGTAGCAGTAGGAATGATTCAAATCATGGCATTTGAAGATTTCATTAATATCGAAGAGATAGAGCATTCAAGCAATTTAGTGTATTGGAATTAGAGTAGCACATATGAAATGTGGTCAACTCATAAACCGCAAATTGTGGCCCTGATTTCAACAAAGAATGAAATAGAAGTCGAGAAAACCAATGAAGGCCAGAAATTTGAGTTTGGAGTATCTTACATGATTTTTAATGGGAGTTCAAGAATAGACGAATTTGATAAATTTGCATCAATTCCTCAATATACATATGAAGATCTGTTTCTTGAGATTTTTTTTTTTACACGACTAATATATGTGCCGACAAAGAAAAAGAAGCTTGCAGAAGGTGGTTTTGATGTTGAATTTATCTTAGCACACTTCAAAACTCGTGGACTAGTTTTCTCCAAGCAGGGGAAAATGATGGAGAGCAAAATTATTCTTAACTTTTATTCAATTTCAAAAGATGTTTATTATAGTTTTAGTTTTAAGGTTTATTTGCAGGGTTTTATTTAGGATTCGAGGGTTTTATATTTTTTGTTTACTTCATGAGTATTACTTACTGTTCATGAGTATTGTTCATGGGTACTGTTCATATTGGTACAACTATCATTACGAATTTTAAGTTTAAGTTAGGATATATAGGTCAATGTATTATTTGTTTGGACATTTTTTGTACTTGAAATGTTAAACTATAACATAAATGAGGTGTGTGGGGCCATGAGGGGGTCATTCCATGCGATTTTTGTAATTGAAAGATAAAAAGCTTAGGATTTTGGAACCTTAGCTTGGGGTATGGAGAAGAAACCCTAGGTTTCTTTAAATTGTGCTTGTCTTTTGTTTGTTTCTTGCTGATTTTACTATTCCTTCAAATTTTCCTTCATCAATTTTGCATTTGACCAAGGGAATGACTTCAAAAGATACAATGCTCTAGCACTGAGTTTTAGTGGTATATGAAATTGGATATATGAATATTGGATATCCATAAGTTTTGGGACATTGTTTGGTGGTAGTAGTGGCTTTATTTACATAATGATACTATTTCTCTTGAACATGCTGTCATATTTCTTTGTTTTTTATTGTGAGGCAAACAAATGAATGTCGCTGATTTTTTATCTTGAATTTTTACTTTGATGGTTAATTTTTTTGTAAAGAATTAACATTCAAGTTATGAATATTGGCTATTTGTAAGTTTAGGCGAATGCTATCGAGTGATTTAGCTTATTGTTTTATGGTTAATATTAAATGCAATTGTAATGCATCTGCTACTAATGATTTTGCTATTTTTCATATTTTATGTTTTCTTGTCTCAGTTTATATGATCATATCTATCTCAGTTCTGACCTTATCCTGTTTTTTTTCATTTCAGCTATCCACGCACTGAGAGCACAGCTTACCCAGCTACATTTGATTTTAGAAGCACTCTTGCAGCTCAACTTGATAATCCTACATGGGGAAGTTATGTACAAGCTCTACTAGCTGATGGTTTTAGTAGACCCCGAACAGGAAATGATGCAGGTGACCATCCTCCTGTAACTCCAATGCGATTGGCAACAGAAGATATGTTGGGGAGTGACGCATGGAGATTGTACCAATACGTAACTCAACACTTTATTGGGACTGTGAGTCCTGATTGCAAGTACTTAAGTTACGGTTCTTAATTTTGCCTTAAAAGTTTATGTTGGTTGTTTCCTTCAGTCACATCTTACATTTATGTTGTGAAAGATTGGAACATTGCATAATTTTATTTTTGTCCACCAGGCAGTTTATTTGATAAGTGACAAGTGAGCCTTCCTTCATGCTTGCTATTTTTGTGAAATTTAAAGTGCTCGAGGCTTGATCTTAGTTGTAGCAGTGATACTAGGACTAGTAATCGATGTCCTGGTCAGTCATTTGGTCAAAGATTAGCATAATGGCGATTGTGCTATTTACTTAATCTATGACATACTTTTAAATGTTGAAAATAGATACTTGGTCGATTTCCAATGTGTGTGAAATGTGTTACCATGTTCTTGTGTCTTCTAGTATGCAAAATTGTGATTTGCCCAACATGAGGGAACAATCTCTGTAATAGCAGAAGAAAACTTTCCATCTGCCTGTGAAGATAAATCTCACACTATTCTTGAGGTTTGAGACATAGTTACTGGGGTCGCTTATTTTGATAGGCAATTCTCCCATAACGCATCTCTTAGGGATCTCGACCCCTCCTATTAGGTATCCCGATTCCTACTGTTAGGGATCTCGATTCTAACCTTAAAAACCAAGAGAACAATCAAATGGTTCTGTGTATAGCCCATAGTTGTGGGAACCTTGGGGTTAAGGCCACGGTCCCACCTTGGGAATGCAATCCTGCGGTTCCTCCAAGGGATCTTAGAAGGAGCTGGGTTTAGAGAAATTGGGATCTCGGTCCCTATAAAATGGGATCTCGGTCTATATGTTTGTAGGATTCCTCCAAGGAGAGGAGATATACTATTAAGGAACAACTGGCCTTCTCCTTGGTACTATAGATTTATTTCTTTAGAATATGTGAAACTATAGTGCATATCACATTGTGGTATACTAGAATTATGGTATTAAAAATCCATTCGCTTTGTGGCGGGGGCGAAGCTAAACTATATGTCTATATCACAGTAAGTCAATTTATGATTTATTAAATAATGTTATTATAGTAAACTAGAGTACTATAACTAGGGCATTGGTAATAAGCTAAGGTGTATGATAAAGGATTGAGCAAGCATTAGCTTGATCCTAATTTTATCATATGCTATTAATTGATCTCGTTTTATTTATAGTGGAGCTTAAATCCCTCCAAGTCAAAACCTTGATCCCACTGACATGGGATCTCACTCCCAAGTATCCTAGGATCTAGCTCCTTAACATGCTAAATATGTGGACGCCGATCCTAACCCTAGGGAGCTTCCACTCTCTAGGGGTTCGGTGTTCCCCGAACCAATCGCCCTCTCGAACCTGCTCCTGCCTCCAACAACTATGGTATAGCCAGCTAGCAGCAAACTATACTTTTTATATAGTTGCAATGCTTACTTTCAATAAATAATGAGATCCCTACTTTAAAGAATATGTATAAGCCTAAGACTATCATACTACAATCTAAGATAAGTGGCAAGACCCCAAAAGTTGGGATAACAATCCCAAGACGTCTGGATTAAGATCCCCAAAGGTTGGAATCTTGATCCTTAACATTTGGGGATCTCCATCCCTAACATGTTATTGTATGGACAGTGTTCCCAACCTTATGGATCTTCTAGCATTTCACAATCCCCCGCTCCTGATCCCGGTACCTTTCTTGCTCTAGATCCCAACAACTATGGTTTGAAATATGTGACTTTTCATTCTACTTGTCATCCTTTTATGCTATCGTACTTCATACTTAGTTTCTCATGTTTTTTGTTTGCTTAAATAACTGGTTGCTTTCACTTATACCCAAGCAAATGTATGTGTTTGTGAATTTCAGTAGTATTCCATGTGAAGTTATGTATCCCATGGCTTTATGTAGTCTTATTTTCGTCCTACCATACCGTATGTAGAACATGAGTTAACTTGATAACGCATCTTCTTTGAAGCATTATGCATTTTCAGGTTCTTAATAGCACTATATCCATTCGACAAATATTATACTCATGTATAATAACTGTCTTGGAGCTTCCATTAAAGGACTTCCATTGGAAGTGATTTTGACTTCACACCTGCTTTAATGCTTAATGAGCTGACTTACTAAGTAACCGGAAAACAATCCTGAGTTTTTTAGATGCATTCCTAAAAAATAATGTCATGAAGGGCATTTTTATAGAGTCGCTCAAGGTAAACATAAACTGTAGACAGAAATTCCCTGCAATGATTGGACTCCCTTCTGTGGTTGTTTCTGAGATAGTAAATTCCATTGCGCCTTACGCAAATCAACCACTGGCTTTTTAATCATTATCACGTCACATTTTCCAGAAAAAGTTTTTGGAATACTTTGGAATGCTAGAAACAAAATGCCGTTGGCGACCAGTGATGAGGCGACCAGAGATGTCCCCTTAGAAATTACCCCTATTTACTAAATATACAAATTGCAAGAACACCTATATGTTGCTATTTGTATGCAAATGAAGAGCCACAATATACAGTATAGATCAAGGGAGCCAGGCATGATGACGATTCTGAGTAAGTTGATTCAAACATGGCTTGTTAGTGGGGGGTGGGTAATTAGCTGCATGTCTGTATTTGACCTTGGGCAATGAGGTTTTGTCTTTGCCATCAAGAAAGACAATAAAAATAAATTTGCATGTAACAGAGTTGGTTTGACTTAAAAAGCACACCAATGAAAATCACTTTACAGTATTTTCTGGACTAGAACCTCTTTGGAATCATGTTTGGGGATGTTCAATTTGGAATCAAATAAGATAAAGTTGGACAGTACATATATTATCTTGGTCATCTATATTTCCTCAAATTTAACAAAATTTTAGGATAAAGTTGGAGAGTACATATATTATCTAGGTCATCTATATTTCCTCAAATTTCACAAAATTTTACAGTTTTATGGGTCTAGAAAGAATTCAACTTCTCGTTTCTTATGTTTTAGATCAAGCCAACCTTCTTTTTTTCGGGGGGATTCCCCAATTGCTTATAAGAGTATAACCCCATATTCAAAATTTCAACTCTTCTGGACCAGCAAGTCTGGAACTGGACTACTATTTAAACCTGGTTTACCATTCTCTTCCGCTTTGTAAACATCTGCAGCTAACTCAATTATGATCAATATTCATAAAATCTCCAATTAGCTCCTATCAAGTTGAACTACCTTGTTATCAACCGCAAACACCATCATGATTTTTAGTAGTACTATTTATCTTCATTGTTTTGATACAATGTCAGGAAGCTGTACATCATATACAGACACAAAATGATCTGCTGCATGTTTTAGGAAAAAGAGATCAATATGTGTCACATGCAAAATGAGTAAACAGCAACTATAAACCCACAAAAATTGAATGACCCATGTGTTCTGTAATGCATATGTTTCTCAAGCTCAAGTCTCAACAAGCTTCCATTGTGGGATTCATGGTTGTTTAAGGTTCATTTTCCTCCACTTGACTCATTGGGCCCTAGAAAGTCGTGCACAATTTTGAACATTTCTTCATGGATTGTCTTATCTAAATTGCATTAAAACCTGATGATCTGAGGATAGATCAGTTCTATTTTTGTGACAAATATTCTACTTAGTACATGGATTTAAGATTGTCATTCTTATGCTATAAACTGAAGCAAGTCTCTTTTGTCATTGCAGGACAAAAATTGATTTCTCGGCTGGGGGGGAGCTATTCTACTGTATAGGGCTACGAGTAACTTCCCAAGGGTTTACATCTGTTATGCCTTGGATGGCTGTAAGTGAAAAACATCTTCCTAATTTCACCCATGGGGAGCTGATAGGAGTTTCAAAAGTTGACTTGTTTGAGGTATGTGAGTAAATCTAAGACGAGATGCTCTACCACTACTACATCTTGTCAATAAATCACTCTTGTGATCATTTTTTTCGAAAATGTGAACTTGATCATTCTTGTATGATCATGGTTAAGTTTCATGCGTCAATGATTGATATCAAAGATGCCAGGCATGGCCTTTATGAACGCAGGTTGTGTTTTTCCCATATGCACAGTTTTCAGCTGTATCCAAGGCAATTTATTATGTTGTCTCATGGTACTAAACTGTGACCATGTGATTAAATGTTATTTACTTGCAGGGGTGCACCTCCCCTCCAGATTATCTGAGTGAGAGCGAGCTGATATCTCTTATGGAAAAGCATGGTATAGGCACAGACGCATCTATTCCAGTACATATTAACAACATATCTGAGCGCAATTATGTACAGGTCCGTAAAGTTCTCCAACTTATTTTCTGTCTTGAATGTGTTTACGTCTTGTTTCTATGCTTGGACTTTACCTGTTCTTTCCCATTTTTTATTGTGTTAGTGAAATGCTTGTTGCTGTGGTTTCTGCCTGTGAATATTCTGCGTATGGGTGAATTGTAGGTTCAAGCAGGGAGGAGATTGGTCCCCACAACTCTAGGAACCACACTAATCAGAGGATATCAATGTATTGATTCAGATCTCTGTTTGCCTGATATCCGCGGCTTCATAGAGCAACAAATCACCCTAATTGCAAAGGGACAAGTTGATCATGTTCTTGTTGTACAGCATGCAATGCGCCAGTTTACACAAAAGTTCTCTTATTTTGTTGAACATGTGAGTATATCTTTACCTCGAACCATTTAGCCATATGTTTGGCTTTTTAGATTTGCTAATTTAATTTATTTCCTTTGGTTATGTTGTCTCAGAGATTGTAGAATAAAACTCCTTTCTTCTGGGGTAGTTTAGCTGGGTTGGAACCTTAGTTACCAGGATCAGGATCAGATGTGGCATCAGGATCCAGACTGCAGGATCATGACTAGCATGAAACTCCCTATGGCAGGGATCACGGTCCTTACACTCTGAATCTAGGGATCCCAATCATAATATGAGGAGGGCATTGATCCAAACTTAATTGGGATCGAATAATAAATTTTACGGGACCGAGCTCCATCTGGTTAAAAATCAAGGCTGTCAAGAGCACTTAACTAGCACAATCGTATGGATATACTACTATACTATATACTGCACTACTGTACAAGAATACACTGTTCTACCATTCTGTGATACTATGCGACACACTATATTCTCCTACACTTTACTATGTAATATATTCTGTAGTATACTGCTAGACTAACTTTACTACTATACTACCCTATACTACAATGCCATGGAATACGGATCCCCCATAACTCAGGATCTCGATTGTGATTCCAAAGTTTAAAAATCGTGGAGTGAGAATCCCCTCTCTGGGGTGTAGGAGCAAGGTTTTGGAGTGCAATCGACCTCCTGGTTGGATGATCCTGACAATTATGATTTGAACTATCCAGTTTGCCTATGTGCTCAAACCTGGTTATAAAATTATGTTGTAATTATGATGGTGTCTGGAATACCCTTATGCCAGTTTTGTATCTGCCAGTTGATCCCAGTGTAGGTTGATCCAGGTATTGACCAACTCACAGAGAGTACTGTGAAGCCTGTTTTACTAGCATCTAAGTGCCCTTTCTAATGTGTTTACCACCTGATTCCAATTGTTATGAATTCCCTAAAATATAGTCCTATGACTTATCTAACAAAACATGGGGAAGGGATCATGATTCCAGGGGAAAAAAATGAGCATGGCAAAGGATGTTATGTCTTGCTTTATGAATGAACTTAGCAAAAACTGAATATGGTCCTATGACTTATCTAACAAAACATGGGGAAGGGATCATGATTCCAGGGCAAAAAAATGAGCATGGAAAAGGATGTTATGTCTTGCTTTATGAATGAACTTAGCAAAAAATGCTTGTTTACCTATGCTTTCCCAACCAACTTGCCCACCACCGTGCACACACACATACAGATAATAAAGAAGTTTGTTTCTTTATAGAAATTTTGTATGTTTTGCTAATTGTTCATTGTCAATATGGTCTCATGCATCCTCCATCTATGGGTACTGTCAATATGGTCTCATGCATCCTCCACAAATGTCAATCTTTGAATTGATTAATTGTCTATGTTGTTTGCACATCATTTTTTGGAGAAAAGTTGCTTTTTTTTATTTTTTTGTGTTGGTACCATACAAAATTTACGGACTAAGTTTTAGTACACAAACATCCATTTTTATCATTGCTATGAACTTTTATGGGAGGTAAAACCTGTTTTTTTCTTTGTCTTGGCAGAAGGAAATGGCTCTTCTCAGATTAGTACATTCATTTATTTTTATTGTTAATAGTCATGATTCGTGCCAATAGAAAAAGGTTATAAGTATGTTGATGGATTCATGTTCTTTTTGGATAAGTCAGTGGGGGAGAAGGTCCCCCTACCCGTTTTTCATTAATAAGTAAAAATAGAAAGTTTACAACTCATTACTTTACAACCCTAGAACAAGGCACCTGCGCTAAATCATGATTTAAAGTAAGGCAAATGAAATCCGGTGGACAAGACCGCCAAACACTAGCGCTTCCAGACAGGAAGTAGCCATCTTTGTAAGAATATCAGCCACCATGTTAGCCTCACAAAATAAGTGGGAAAGGGATCACCCACAATAAGAAAGACGTTGTTGACAATTTGCTGCAAATCGTATATAAGTTCCATGGAGGTCGGCATCAATTTGATGGATTCATGTTAACAGTAATATGTCACACAAATTGCACTCTTTGCTCTGAATAGTTTATTTTAAGAACAATCTGTAATTTGCCAAAAAGTTTTCAAGGTAACCTAAACTCAGACATTTAAATTTGGTATTTTTCAAATTTCTAAGAGATCTATGTGAGAAAACTAGATCCCGTTTTGCATTCTTAGCATCCAGATTGGTCCCACATTTTTCCCATTTGTATGATCTGTAAATTCATGTGAAAGCTTTCTATGCTTGATGAGTATATGTCTAGATGCTTGGCTTCCCATTCATAGATGATGAAATGGCACCTAATTTGAAACTGGTTATCACATGTCTTTTGTTGGCATGTTGAGAGACGGTAAACCGGACACTAAAGAACTCCATATGGCTTCCCATGGCTACGATGCACACCACACTTGAGCAATCATATATTCATGTAATTGAGTTTTGATTTGATGAATTTTCATGTTACTATTGATGTATAATTTGGCTTTGTAAAGTTGAATAGTACTGAATTTTTCAAGAGAGTATTGTATATGTCTAATCTTGAGTTCTATCTTTGAGGATATACTTGTTGAAGTGTAAGGGACCTAGATAGAGTTGTATCCTCCTTTTCTAAGTATATTTTGACGCATTGATCTTCATGTAACAACAACTACCTTTTTGTTTTTTTCATTTCAAGAGTTGTGAGTCAAGTGAGTTGTTAGATTTTTAAAAGTTGTATACTTAATCTTGTATACCTTTGCACTTGTATACCTTTGTACCTGTTTTATGTGTATTGGTTTCTTATACACCAAACATAGAAAACTGAATGCATATAAATCATTAAATTAATAGTATGGAGATATTCTGTCTAGTCTCGTTTTAGCAATTAAAGTGCATCTTTCACAACAATAAATTGAAGTACATCTCGCGCTTAATGAAAATTAAAGGAAAACAAATATTGCTTCATTGGTACAGTGAGTAAAAAGTGGAGCCACCACCTGGTAACTTCCATACATTGTGTCTCTTACCTCATTAATGTTTTGCTATTCATTGGATTTGGTTCAACAGTAATGTTGTTTTGCCTTATGCGAAGATTGTTAGTGTATAAGAAACTAATACACGTAAAAGGGGTTCAAGGGTATACAAGACAATGTGTACAACTTTTAAAAAATCAGTAACTCACTTGATTCACAACTCTTGAAAAGCAAGGTTATTGTTGTTACATGAACATAAAGGCTTCAAAATACACTTATAAAGGGAGGATTCAACTCCGTCTAGGTCCCTTACACGTCAACAATTCTATCCTCAAAGATAGAACTCAAGACTAGACATACACAATGGCTCTCTTGAAAATTCAATGACATTCAACTTTACAACACCAAATTATACATCAATTATAATATGAAAATACATCAAATCAAAACTCAATTACATGAAAAAATATTGCTCAAGTGTAGTGTGCTACATAGCCATGGGAAGTCATATGAAGCTCTCGATTGTCCGGTTTACTGCCTTGGGACTTATTAATGTGCCAATGGGAGACATGCGATGGCTAGACTTAAGATCGGTGCCATTCATCATCTATTAATGGGAAGCCAAGCATCTAGACAGGTATTCATCAAGCATGGAAGGTTTCTTATGAAATTTCAGATCATGCATAGAGGGAAAAACATGGGACCAATCCGGATGCTAAGATTGTAAAACGTGATCTAGTTTACTCTCATATGTCTCTTAGAAAATCGACACAGTCTACCCTTGTAAAATCAAATTTTCAATGACACAATAAGGTGATCTAGCTCACTGATTTTAGTTAGAATAAACTCAGAAAGAAATCAGTGATGAAATCAAAAGGGAACTATTGCTCATAGATCAAGCACAATCGAGCATTGATCAACTAGTAAACAAATAGAAGATCAAGGGACAAATATATGATCATAGATCATCATATAATGCTGCTGGAATAGCAGTATTATAGCAGAGACATGAAGTATTAAAAGGAGGTATGAAAGTTGCTTACTCAAATAAGGAAGATCTCTTGATTAGTTGATCATTGGATTGAACTATGGAGCTTTGATCACCATTAATGAAATTCAATTGACCCTTGAAGGTGGCTGCTCTCTTTCTTGGTTGAAGATGAGTTTCTTGAGAGTGGAAAAAGGCTTCGGCATGCCACTTTTGGGAGACTATCTTAGTGAGAGAAACTAGTTTCTTGAAATGAGTTCAAAGGGGGTATTTATAAGCATTTCAAGACACATGGGATGAGATTCTTCTAGATTATGAATCATGGCCCTCCACGACTTCTACCAAAGGCTACAAAGAGAGGTTGATCTTAGCCCACCATTCACCATCAACCATCTTGATGTGTGGCATGGATTCAACACCGTAATCCTCCCTCTAATTCCCTCCCATTTCCCTTGTTATAAAAGGTATAAAACCATGATCAAGGGTATGTCCTTTATGGTATTTTGACCAAAATTGCAGCAAAATGAATATTCTAAAGTTCCCTCCAAATCACTTAAGCATGTGGGATCAATAAGATTATGCCACATGAGGCAAGTGGTTAAGTGCACAATGACTAAAAACCCGTAAGGTAAGGATCAGTGTTTCAAAAAGCGCTAGGCAGTGCCTAGGCGGGCGTCCAGAACCTGGGCGGCCCAGTAGAAAGAAAAACATTATGGGGTTTTTGTCTCTCTCAAATAGGCTCTAATGCCCCTTTAGTATTAAAAAAATGATAAAAAAATGTCCTGAACGAGGGGTATTCTGCCCTTGGGTAGGGCATAGGCCTTGGGCAGCTGCCTAGGTAAGTTCAGGTGGCCGCCTAGGTGGGTTCCTGTGCACCTAGGGATATCCGCCTAATTTGACCGCCTAGGCTTGGGTGATGCTCCCAGGCCTTCTGGACCGCCTGGGCGGTCACCAAGGCACTGGGCGTCCACTTTTTAAGTCACTAATAAGGATGAATATTTCAAACCCCATACCCCTTCTAGAACATCCCACACATGTGCACTAACCCACTTGCTTTAGGCATTCAACATGTGCCTAAAAGCAATTTTCCAAATATTCCAATTTAACGAAAAAAACAAAATACATAGATAAAGAGGGAATAAATAAAATGACGTGGGGATCCCACATAGGATTGATGTCACCCCCATGTCATCTTCACTTGGGGGTGCATGGAATATGACATGTGGACACCCATTGGCCATTTGGGTGTCCAGTGTGGATCCCAGGGGACTGTCCTCAATCGTCATTTCATCCAAACAATTTTGAAAGGGATTTTCTTGAGTCAGATAAATCCAAAAACAATTCCCATAAATCCACAAAATTATTTTTAATGATTTTTCATTAAAACAAATCATTTTAACAATGATTAAAAATAAATACATGGGAAATTAGGATCCTTTGAGTCAAATTACAAAACGGAGCACTCCACTTGGCTAGTCCTTGAATCCAAAGTCACTTTTTTGGAAATGACCCAGCGGACTCATGACCCACAATGTTAAATCAAGGGCTCAAGATATTAGTCATATTAAAGTCAAGTCAATGTGTGACTCTGAATTCCAAGGTTAAGTGGATTTCAGGTGTACCCCCTAGAGGACATGCATACAAGAACAAGTTGTGGAGATTCCTCTCTTGGCACATGTGCAGCTCTATCTAATTGATCCATGAAAGAGCATACTTCCCATGAATTGTAACTGTATATGCACATGTCATGAGAAGGTTCTTAGAGTTAGAGATTTAGGTTAATGCCCTCTGTCAACCTTCTTGTATAGGATTTTCAATCATCAAGCTCATACGAACGTCATATTGTCTCGGCCCATCACATGGTCATGAAGCACATATCAAATAAAAGATATCAACCGACCTTGACTAAAAGGTAACCCTCAACCCTCTCTGTACCTTCCATATACCAAAACACCCCATGACCGAATCTAGGTTCCATGACTCTTGGTTCCACTGTGCCAAGATCCTAGAGTCATGTTGCTCTTATACTCCCACTCAAGTATAGAGCCATTGAAAATGAAGGAATTTAAGGCCTTGGAAGAACATAATTCCAACAAAGATAACTAGGGTGTTGAATTCTTTGTTTGGGCCTCATGTTTATGTTTGATCTTGTAATGACATTTGTAATGTAATCTTAAATGTTCAAGGATTAAAACATGGTCATTCACTAATCCTAACATCAGTAAGTGGGATTTCAAACCTTGGACGTCAGATCCAAGCTGCCAACCAGATCACCGTAGGCCATGGGAACCAAATTTATATTTGTTGCAAGTTATGATTTTTCACTTTCCCCAAAAATTTTAACTTGTTGACACTTTGGCTCTTCTATTTGTAAGATTTTAAGTTATTTACGTACGGACCTTATATACTTTAGGAAAATATGAGTTGCTCCTTTTATACTAGAAAATTTCAATCAAGGTCGGTCAACACGACCTTTTTTTTACAAAATTACCCCTCGGTCCGAGGATGTCATCTTCAGACCGCTTTCCTTTTTAAAAACTTAAGTTGTGGTCCAATGATGAAATTCGAGGACCGCTTTTTTTTCAAAACTTAAGTTGCGGTCTGAGGTTGAAATTCTTATACCTCTTTTTTTTTTGGAAACTATTTTCAAACCTTTTTGTTTCTTCAAAACTTAAGTTGCAATCCGAGGATGACATTCTCGGACTGCTTTTTTTTTTTGTTTCAAAACTTAAGTTTCGGTCTGAAAAAAACTTTAAGTTTTGAAATTTAGAAGTAGTTTGAGAACCACTTTTTTTTTCAGAATTTAAAAGCGGTCCAGGGATGGCATCCCTAAGTGCTTTTTTTTCTCCAAAACTTAAAGTTGCGGTCCGAGGATGGCATTCTCAGACTGCTTTTTTTTTTTCAAAACTTATGTTGCGGTTTGAGGAATAAAAAAACGGTCCGGGGATGGTATCCCCGGACGAAGGGGTAATTTTGTCAAACAAAAGTCGAGTTGACCGACCTTGATTGTAATTTTTGGGTATAAAGGGAGCAACTCATATTGTCCTAACTTATTTAAGGTATGTACGTAAATAACTCTTTAAGATTTATTTGTTTTCATTGTTCCATGTGCTTGACAGATTGCAGACGTGGATGCATTGTAGCAAGTTCTGATTTTACACTTTGGCTCTTCTATTTGTAAGATTTATTTGTTTTTATTGTGCCATGTGCTTGACAGATTGCAGACATGGATGCATTGTTTGAAGCACAGTTCTCTCCTTTGGCTGATTCTGGCCGTCTACTTAGCAAATGTGGAAAATGTGTCCGGTACATGAAGTACATCTCTGTACAGCCAGCACGTTTATACTGTGGAGCCTGTGAGGAGGTTTATTATCTTCCTCAAAAAGGCACTGTCAAGGTAATCTTTCCTTCGCATGAGATGATAGTGATCAAAGCTTTATAGGGCATTCCATTTCAACTATTGCGTAATGATTCAATTGTTGTTTACATAAAAACGGGAACATTTCATTGAAACCCCAAAAAAAAAAAGGAAATTCAATTTCATAATAGCCCCTCTCATTTTTCTTATCGCATGGCATTAATTTTTGGAAGCATATATCATCCCAGCCCTGAATTGGGAAAAGGCTATGATAATATGATGATGATGATGATGATAGCGTCCCAACCCCTCCTCACTTCCCTCCCATTGCTTTGTTATCTTTACCCCAATAGCTCCAAACAAAATATGCAACATTTTCCCAATCCTGTCTCTTTCTCTCTTGTCTCTCTAAGAAGCACGAGATGAGGAAGGGGAGTTGTTGAGGTAAAAATGATTTTCTGGCCAGCTATAAAGTAGGAAGAGGACAGATGTGAGGTGGGGTGGGATGATAAATACTTAAGTACTTATAAAAATACCTAAGTAGTTATAAATACTTAAGTACTTATAAATACTTAAGTACTTAAATAATTTTTGAGGGGTCCGTATGAAACTTTCCCCCAAAAAAAAACAATGATACTTGTAACATGCATGCAGGCAAACACTTGAGAACAAGATTGTGTGTCCATCTTTCCATTTTTTTTTATAGATTATCAATTTTCATTTTTTTTCCTTGCTAGTGCTTATTTATCATTTTTAAATGTTTAATGTTTTATGGACTCATAGTAACAATTTTTTGGGATTTTCTTTGATATATTTTGTTGGATAAATTTTGTGATTTTCTAGGGAAAATTGAAAAAAATATTAGTAGGGAACGTATCATTAAAATGATCAACCATCTCAAAAATTCATTGAGGTGTTCAAATCAACATATTTTTCAATGAAGAGGTTACTATAATTGGATCATTACTCTCAAAGACCTCCGTAATTGTTTGTTGAAAGTCCCCAAAATGCCCCTATGCTTGGGTTGGAATCTTCAGCAGGTTGGTTATTTTGGTAATTTCACATGTGTGGGTTAAGACTACCAAAATGCACCTAGTTCTGGGTTCCAAACTAGAACAAGTGACTATAATGAAAAAAATTACATTTTTAGGGTTTGGATTGATCATTTTAAAGTAACCACTTTGGTGATAAATTGATTTGACCCATAATTACTAAAATACCCCTACTTGTTTAGGATTGCATACCTTGAACGAGGATAGCTTGCACATTTTTAAATAAAATAGATGGAGAGGTGTTTGAGTAACATGATTTAAGTAACCACTTTCGTGATAAATTGATGATTTGTGCACCTCAGTGAATTTTTAGGTGGTTTGACCATTTTAATGATATTTTCCCTTAGAACTTAAAGAAGTTATAGGAAACAAATTAAATAGTCAAAAAACTTAGTAATAAAAAACTATGAAAACAATAAAAATATTGAAAATAAGTTTTTCAGTAGGGATAATGTCAGTCCAACTTGTGCTTTGAAAAAAGTGATATAAGTTTTGTTTACTTTAAAAAGGTGACTTAACTTTTAAATTTTCTATAGAAAGCGAGAGCTTGGAATCATCCTCCAGATTTTAGGATCTTTTTTTTTTTTTTTAAATTACTTATTGTAGATATAATTCAAATTCTGTGAACATATTTGTAGTGTAGACATCATTTTCCAAAAGTTTAGGATAACATTTTCATCCCATGGGATACCCAACATATGTGGCTTCTTGTCCAGTTCTTTTGAATATACTGTTATGAGTTTACTCGTACTGTTGTTATTTTTTAGTTGATTACAATTTTGATGAAGATATAGATTGATCTTCGATATTTATAAAAATGAGAAATGCCTATAGAACTTGGACACGCATATCCATAGTTTTTGGCACATGTCAAATATCAAGGAAATGACATGTGTCTCTCACACTTGAGAAACTTGAACATTTCTAAAATAACCATATTTGTTGAAATGTCTCCATGAGAGATCTTAATGTCACATAAAGTCTGCTATTCCCCTCCTATGAATTATATATGGACATGTCATGTCTAAGAAAGCCAATTTTGGGGTTTTATGTTTTGAACATACTTATCCATGATGGATGCTGACACTCATATCCTTACCTTTTCTAACATAGAGAAATGTTAAACTGTTTAAGTTCTTTATGAAGAATGCTCGTCATAAATTGTTGTACATAAATTTTTTATATGGAAGTTTGTTTTCCCATACTTTATTTTGGCATTCTACATAACTTTGACAGAAATTTAATTTTTTGGGGAAAGCTGTAAGAAAATATGTAAAAAAAAAAAAAAAAACTGAGAAAAATCCTGGGTTAGTGTTTTGAGAATCATAATCACTTCAGTAATTATGATAATCATAAGAGATGTTCATAATTTTTCTTAGTAGGCCTGCAATTGGGGATCTTGCTTCGAAGATCTTGGAACATGGTTATCATGCATTTTCCTGTTCACACTTTTTGATTATTAGACATATGATTAACAATGTACTTATTTAATGTGGAACAGAAACACCCCCAAAATTTCTCCTAATAGAATAGTTTGGGCTTTCCTACACTAAAATCAAGAAAATGGAACAATGTGAATAGAACCTCAAGGACTGAATGTGACTGTACAGTTAAAAAGCATACATGTCCATGGATTTCTTCAAGCAAACACTGACAAACTCATTTCAGTACAATCTTCATTCCCTCAGTTCTCCATTGAGCTCCTGCTATATATTTCTTTCATCAGACCTTGTTTCTTTCAGCTATACAAGGAACTAGCATGCCCATTGGACAACTTTGAACTGGTGCTCTTTTCTCTATCTGGCCCTGATGCCAAGTCTTTCCCACTCTGTCCCTACTGCTACAACAATCCACCTTTCGAAGGCATTGGCACACTTTATGGCTCACTTGGCCCAGGCAGGTCAGGCAAAGGTGCAGGCATGCCCTGCAACCTCTGCCCACACCCCACATGCCGCCACTCAATGATCACACAAGGTGTATGTGCATGCCCAGAGTGTGATGGCACTCTCGTGCTCGACCCTGTTAGTGCTCCAAAGTGGAGGCTTTACTGCAACTTGTGCAATTGTCTTGTGTCTTTACCTCATGGTGCCTATCGAATTGCGACCACACAAGAGAGGTGTGTAGAATGTGAATCTACCCTCATTGAGATTGATTTTAACAAGAAGACGACACCTTTAAGCAATGGGGAGACGTTGCATAGAGGATGTATTTTGTGTGATGAGCGTTTGCATTCGCTTGTGGAGATGAAGCATGGGAAATCATTCTTTAGGGGAAGAGGAAGAGGTAGAGGGAGAGGCAGGGGAAGGGGAAGGGGGAGAGGAAGGGGGAGGGGCGGAAAGCATGAGGACCCAAAGATGAGCTTTCGGGATTTCTGATGAATGCCCCCTTTTTATGCATCATTTGTTTTTCTCTGTTTTTGTTGCCTTTGCAGCAACTATTGAGGAGAGAGTGCATGTATAACTTTCTGACCTCCAGTTGGAAGAACCACCCAAATCGGTTGAGTTGCCCCATTCTGTACCGTGTCATGGTTGTTTTCTCTTGGTGCATGTAAGGCAGTCACTTTAGCCCAAATGTTCCAAGTTCTTTTTAAACTAATTTGGGGCATGCATAATGTTTGTTACATAAATTTGTGAAATATTTATTTATTTGAGCATTCTCAATTTGTCTAATGTTGAGAAAGTAAGATAACTTTTTGTGAATATAAATGTAGTAGAACAGGCTAAGAAAGCTATGAGAGAGCAGTTCTAGAGTAGAATGGCTGGCAAAAGTCCTTAATATTTCGAGAGTTTTTTAGGCTGGCCAGTCACATGTTATGGCCTCTTTGGTCTGGAAAAAATCCATAGGAATTTGGTACAAAATTATGCGTCTGGTTGCCATGGATCTGATTATCTCAGGTGACACCAGATCCTGTGGTTTGGATATGTCATTGCAGTTTGTCAAAGTCTTGAATGTGATTGTTAAACTTACGACCCTGAGCGCTCTTCCAAAAAAAAAAACTTACGACCTGAGCTTGCTGGCTTTCCATACAGAAACTGCAAGGACATATCCAACAGGATTTCTGTAGGCAGATATTTCGTATTTCTTTGGGTTACTTACTAATAATGAACCTTAGAAGGTCACCAGGCGACCCTGCTGGTGCTCGATGGTAGTTTTCGTAGAATGAATAATTTGAGGTTAGCTACCCAAGTTTCTATAAATTTCAGTAGTTCATCGTTGCCTTCGTTTTTCTCAAAACTGCCTCGTAAGGCTTTTTTTAGAGGGAAAATTACAAAAACCTCCAAGATCGACATTTTCTATGCAACTTATTTCTAACTTTATTTTCTCATTTTTTTCCCCAAAAAAGCTTTCTATGCAAATACTCCTTAAGAGAAAAAATTTATTTTTTATATGGAAATGCCCTTCTCGTACTCAAAATCATTTTGGACATATTTGAGGTTGACTTTTGGACCCCAGTGGTACATTGTAGAAGCGCATCATCATATTATGATGCTAAAGTGCGTAAGTGCCTGTTTGCCTGTCTTTTTTATTGTTGAACTATACTTTAACCAATGCCAGACTGCTTTTTGCAACGGTTGGACCGTACTTTTCAATTGCTAGACAGCAATTTAACCAATGTCGGTGCTTCAATTACCGGATAGTACTTTACCCAATGCCGGTGCCTTATTGCCACCCTTTGCAACTGTCGGACTACCCTTCAATTACCGGACAACACTTTAGCCAATGCCGGTGCCCTATTGTCGGACTGTCCTTTTCAATTGCCGGACCACCCTAGACTGCATTTTATACAGTGTCGGCGCCCTAGTGTTGAACCATACTTTTTACATAGTGCGGAAGCCTTACTGCAGGACAGAACTTTACATAGTGCCGAAGTGTTACTGTCGAAATGCACCGGAGTAATTAAAGGAGGGTAGTTTAGGTATTTTTTTATCTTTATTTTTGTTGGGGGTTTTTACCTTAAGTATATTTGGGGAAAAATAGATGAGAAAAAGAAGGGTAGTTTAGGTATTTTTTATTTTTATTTTAATTTTTGTTGGGGTTTTTACCGGTATATTTGGGAAAAAATAGGTGAGAAAAAGTTAGGATGTGATAAGTTGCATAAAAAGTGTAGTTTTGGGGTTTTTTGTAATTTTTTTTCTTTTCTTTTTTTTTATAATTCTTGTCCCTTTGAAACCTTTCATCTTCTTTGGAAGATGCTTTATTTTTTTAAGAGAAAATAATGTATGTTACTGTGAAGATTCTGTTAATATATGTATATCTATTTTTACAAATTCATAACATTTTTTAAAAAAAAAAGAACAAAACTGCCCTTTTTGTTTTTGAAAAACCAAAAAATAACCCAATTTGGTTTTTCAAAACCGAAATCTATCTTTCATTTATAACCAAGCACCCGAGCCTTCTATTCTTCACTGTGTGGGCATTGAGAATTTCAGTATGACAATGGGCATATTTAAATCCATTTTTTTAAGAACAACAGTGTGAAAAAACAAGAAATTTATCGAGCTACCCATAAGAGATGAACAATTTAACACTACCTATATTTTTATATGTAGTTTTAAAAGACCCATATAAAAAGGAAAAAGTTCATAAGGGTATAACATTATATTATAGAAATAAGGTGCATCTCAATAATCTAAGAGAAACAAGTTAGAAAATCCTTCAATTAATCATCTCAACCTCGAAAAAAATGGATATAATTTGAACTCCTAAACATAATGCATCTTACAACAAGATATAATGACTATTTATTTTCAAGATTTTCAGGTGTCTGTAGATTTGTTTGATCTGATACATGGAATAGTTACAAATTTGGCAATATATTAAATACTTCGTGGGATTAAGTGAATTGCTAATTAGAAAAGAAGTTATACTACCTGTTTATATCATGCATGAGTATAAACAACCTTCCAAACCGTCCGTTGTCAACAATTTAGAGTTTTGCCCTTTCAGAATCTGTCAATCCCATTGGCGGACTTCTGAGATGTTGACAACCTTTAAGTGGAGAGGAACAAGGCTCCAAGCCGACATCAAACTTGAAAAACTTGTATATATATCAATGCATAAGTACGTATATGTTCCCATTAAAAAAAGGGCGGTTTTTGCTAAAATTATCTCTAGGAAAAAAGTTTATATACAGCTGAGGCTCTAAACAATCAAACTAGAGCTCACCTCAAAACTTGCATTAGAAGAGGTTGTTTTGATGCTCAAATATCTTCAAATTGATCATCTCGACATCAAGATGTATGGGCGTGAGAGAAAAAATGGATTTTAAATTTCTGAAATAGTGCATCTTGTAACACACATTTTTGGACGGCCAATTTTCAAGATTTCCATGTTTTCATAGATTCACTTGGGTTACACTATTTTTTAAGCTTTAAATTTTATAATTAAATATAAAAATATATTTTAAAACTATCACAAAGATTTCCATTATTGAAACCACATTTCTCAATACTATTTGATGGTGTGCTTTATTTTGATCGTTTAAAACCTCGATTCTATACAAACTGCACCGTTATCTATAAGGGCACAAATTTGCAGCTCTTTACACCCTACCAGTCTCTTAGGGTCCAACCATTAGAACATCTGAAAATATATATTATGCTGCAGGTCATCAAAATATATGGACACAGAGAACGCACTACAATACTTATTGAAAGGGACAGTTATTTAAGTATATTACTAAGTAGATCGTTTGTAGAGGAAGGTTTTTTACAAAAAAAAAGATTATGATATTCTCGACTTATTTGAATTTTCACTTCTTTTTCTTTTTCTTTTTTTTTCAAGTATTTGTAGTGAAATGTGTATAAGATTTTTGAACTTTTAGTTTTTTTAATCATAGTTTTTATTGTTAATGAAATAGCCTGTGCCAATAAAAAAGTGAAATTTTTTTTTAAAAAAAGTCCATAAAAATAAAGTAAGTGACGTATCTTACTTTTTGTTCGAAAATAAAAAAAATCAGCTCTATATTGGGTGTAAGGCTTCTTTCTAAACCGCTTATTTTAGGTTCACATAAATTATAGTCTATTTTCGAAAGTCCTTATTCTCCACTGGAATAAATTATATTTCAATTATGTAAATTTGTAATTGAAAAACAAAAAAAAAAGGAGGAAGGCGTCTTGTCCATACTTTTATTTGAGAATAATTTGAAATGAAATAAATAAAATTATTAAATAAACAATTGAGATGTTTCAAACCCCTTATTCTACATATCATGCCTTACGGTTAAATAATAAGAATTGAATTGATAGCTTAAAAACTCAAAAGAGTAAGAATTTTTATTGTTTTTTACTATTAAAAATATTAATAAATAATGTAATTTATCTTATTTCTACTTATGAATTGAAAATAACACGAATATATCTTTGTTATTCTTATTATTTTTATTGTTTATTAATTTATCTTATTTCTACTTATTCTAGTAACCCCTTATTCTACATAGCAAAACTTATGTTTAAATAATAAGAATTGAATTGATAGCTAAAAATTCAAAAGATTAAGAATTTGTATTGTTCGTTACTATTACTTGTGTAGACATGAGGCAGTGGCCTTAGTAGGAAGGCTCACCAATGGTTGACACCTTTTCTTAAAATGTGTTTCCTTCTCTTCATGAGAGGAGGTAGAGAGTGGTTGCACTTCTTCATAAGGGAGTTACCCTTCAATGAATGACTTGCACCATGTATCCTAATGGTAACTATTCATGAGGGATTTACTTCTACATGAATTAGGGAGGCCTTTCTCTCACTATAAAAAAAAAGAAGGATGGATGTCTCAAGACACACAATAAGTGAGAGAGTGAAAGAACTCATTTTGAGAGAGAGAGAGAGTACTCTCCCATTTGAGTTGTAAGGAGAGACTCCCAATAGATAAAGAGTTGTGTATAAGAGAGTCAAGCTTGGACTACTTTTCGTCTTGCATGTATTGTATTTGTGAGAGTATTATTGAGCTTCCATCTTGCTCGGGATTTGCAGTGTGGAACCAATTTCGACAATTCTAGTAGTTGTTGAACTTGTCTACACAAGTTGATCATTCATCTCCAATTTCACTAAAACTTATTTGCGAGTATCAAGTTCATGATACTCGATTCCTGGTTGTTTAATTTGTTTAATTTTTGCTTCCACTGCAGCCTTGGACCACTTATTCCTAGATTAGTATCAGAGCCATCGTGCAATCATGTTCCCGATTGTGACCACATTTTCATTCCCACCTTACTTGTGAAGGCTTGGCTATAGTTAGCCTATAATATTACAAAATGCAAATGCTGGTTATACTGAGACCATGGGCAAGTGCACTATATAGTCGTATACATGGACCACATACATATGCAAGCTTTATGCATTGAGAAATTGTCAGCCTTATGCATGGGCAATGTAAGTTGAGGCCTCCTAGACCATGCGGGTCATGGCTAGCTAATCTTTATAGGCCTCACACTACAAAGTTGTACTGCTTGTAAATTGTGAGGTATTTGGAATGTTGGATCCAAGAAAGACCCTTGGTATTGTTTACAAGTAATAGCTCAATGTGGCTGCATGAACTTTTCATAACTTTCAAGGGTCAAGTTTTCAAGTAACTATACACTGACCAAGCGTAAAAATTATAATATAAGGGCAATCATGGATTAAATAAACCATCAAACATCCATATTAATCGATGCACTTTTTGATGTTTTAAA